CAGGAAGGCTGACGTTTCGGGCCTAGACCCTTCATCAGACCCATTTCTGATGAAGGGTCTAGGCCCGAAACGTCAGCCTTTCTGCTCCTATGATGCTGCTTGGCCTTCTGTGTTCATCCAGCTCTGCACCTTGTTGTCTTGGATTCTCCAGCATCTGCAGTTCCTACTATCTCTGATGGGGATGTTTCGAATGTTTTACCCAGGGCCTGTTGTTATCCAACCTATACTCTTATATTGCCAATCAAGGTAAAAGACTTGTCCATTACTGATTTGGGGACTGTTGCTGGATACTAATATTTTGTTAAAAATCAAAAGAACTGTGGATGCTGTAAATCAGGAACAAAAACAAAGTTGCTGGAAAAGCCCAGCAGGTCTGGCAGCATCTGTGAAGGAAAAAACAGAGTTAACGTTTCAGGTCCAGTGACCTTCCTCAGAACTGATGGTGGCTGCGAAAACGTCAGTTTATATGCAGAAAATAGGGAGTTGTGTGTGGTTTGGAGTAAACAAAAGGATAGAGCCCAAAGAGAGGGAAAGACAGTTGGACAGACAAAAGGAGTTGATAACGATCAGGCTGGGAGGGTGAATAGTTGTTAATGGGGACTATTAGTGACTAACTACAGGGGGTGTGTAGTGGCAGGCTATGTTGTAACAAGCCTGGTGTGCAGGGTGGCGTGCTGGGACATGGGAGAGTTTAGGTCCTAAAATTATCGAACTCGATATTGAGTCCGGAGGACTGTAGGGTCCCCAAGCGGAAAATGAGGTGTTGTTCTTCCAGCTTGCGTTGGGCTTCACTGGAATACTGTAGCAAGCCAGATGTTGGCCAGGGAGCAGGGTGGTGCGTTAAAGTGGCAGGCAACAGGTAGTTCAGGGTCTTTTTTGCGAGCAGAATGTAGATGTTCTGCGAAGCGGTCACCCAATCTACGCTTCGTTTCCCCAAAGTAGAGGAGAGCACATTGTGAACAGTGAATGCAGTAAGCTAGATTCTGGGAAGTGCAGGTGAAGTGTTGCTTTACCTGGAAGGTACGTTTGGGCCCTTGGATAGTGGGGAGGGAGGAGGTAAATGGGCAGGTGTTGCACCTTCGCTGGTTACAGGTGTAGGTGAAGGAAGTGTGGACCAGGGTGTCCCTAAGGGAACAGTCCCTGTTGAAGGCGGACAAGGGAGGGGAGGGGAATGTGTCTAGTGGTGGTATCTTGCTGGATGTGGCAGAAATGGCATCTGATGATCTTCTGGATGTGGATGCTGGTGGGATGGTAGGTGAGGATAAGGGGAACCCTATGACTGTTGTGGGAGGGAAGGGAAGGGGTGAGGGCGGAAGTGCAGGAGATGGGTCAGACCTGGTTGAGGGCCCTGTCGACAACAGAGCTGGGGAATCCTCGGTTGAGGAAGAAGGTGGACATTTTCGAGGCCCCCTTGTCGAAGTTGGCCTCATCTGAACATATGCGATGGAGACAGAGGAACTGACAGAAAGGGATGGAGTCTGTATAGGAAATGGGGTGTGAGGGTGTATGGTCCAGGTAGCTGTGGGAGTCAGTGGGTTTGTAATGGATATTAGTGGCCAGTCTATCCCCAGAAATGGAAACAGAAATGTCGAGGAAGGGAAGGGAGGAGTCAGAGAGAGACCAGGTGAAAGTAAGGGCAGGGTGGAAATTGGAGGCAAAATTGATGAAGTTTTCCAATTCCAGATGAGAGAGGGAAGCAGCACCAATGATATCATAGATGCATCACAGAAAGAGTTGTGGGTGGGGGCCAGAATAAGACTGGTACAAGGAATGTTCCACATACCCCATGAAGAGACAGGCATAACTTGGGCCCATGCGGGTACCCATGGCAACCCCTCTTACCTGAAGAAAATAATATTTTATTTTATAAATAATAAGAAACTAATATCTTGTTGCTGCATATTCCTCCAGTATTGCCTTTTTGTGACATTAACATGTAGAAATTTATTTTTCTCAAAGCAAATGCATTTAAGCAGTTATACATTGCTCCCTCTAAACAGGATTTGAAACATACACAGATAAGAACATTTCTGATTTTTAATCCACAGCTATTAACATAGGTAGCAAAAAAAACACACTTTATATACAGAATGGCTCAGATCTACTGTCCATTATTCAGTGCGAATTGTGCTAAGAACAACTGTACTTATATTTTTACCTTAACTCTGCTGTTGCTCAAACAAAACATTGCAATAACTGGCTATACTTTTCACCACATGCTCTGTCAACTACATAAGCCAATTAATAAAAATGCAACATTTGCCCATATTCGAGACAGTCTTCATTCTTTGAACGGAGCTCAGCTTTCACATATCTCAGTACATCAACAAGGGAGAAAAAAATCACAGGGAAGGAGCTACATATTTTTCTTTGAAGTCAAATGGTCATTTTTTAGGGCCAAAAAAGTGTGAAGAAGTGAGTCAGACAGGAATGAAATTGACAAGACTAGCTCGCCCCCTCAGAGTGTGAATTAGGCAGGAGGTTTGATGAGAAGGCACGGGATGGAGCAATTGGGGTTGCTGCTCAATTGAATGTACAAATTCGCAGCAGGAGTAAGCCACTCAGTCCCAAGGGCCTGCTCCAGCAATCATTAAACTGATCTGGTTACTCTGCCTACTCCTGATTACCTTACCCAGTGCCAGGGTGGAGCTCCTCCATCTGTTTTGACAAGAGACGCACAGAGAGATGCTGCAGGCTTACCCAACCGGGGTGGGGTTCAAGCCTCAGATGGTGGAAAACCGGAAGATCAAGGAATACTGAAGAGTTGGAGTAGGAAATTTTGAGGGCAGCCTACCGGAGAGTGGGAACTGAATGGAGGCAGAGCGATTGAGGATAAGGGTCTAGAAAAGATAAACAGCAAAACAGGAAACAGAAGTGGCAATGTAGGTAACACTCAAATGTCGCCTCAAGTGGTCTAGCAAGACACTCAGTTGTAAATGGCTCACGGGGAATGGGCAATAAACACTGGTCTTCTCAACAATGCTTGCGTCCCAAGAAAGAATTTTAAAAATTGTCAATCGCAAAAGCAAGTCCAAATTAGTTAACGTAAGCCAAGGAACACCAGAAAAAAAACAAAAACATGGGACTGGATTTCACAGGAAGGTGGACTGCTCATTACCAAGGAAGCGATGTCAGTCCCAAACAAATTGGTTTTTGAATACTCAATGGTAATACTCTGAGGTATGCTAAGTAGTGACAGACAGATTCCTGCTCTATCCATGGGAGGTACTGGCTAATCTGTTTGGCATCCTAGCAGGTCCAGAGTCGGAACTCAGTACTGGATCTTGCTGAAGATGTCAGGAAGATCATGGAAACCGAAGGTGGGCTAGGCTTCTGAGGTGGAGAGGGATCAAAAAGTCGAGGGACAGGGAGAAGGGCTGGGTTGACATCTGGTGAAGGGAGGAAGGTCTGGATGCCCTTGATTGGGATGGAAAGGGGATGATCACCAAAATAAGCGGTTTCAAACAGAGCCCCCACACAATCTCCAAACAAAATCATACCTAATGGGAGGCCATACAATTGGACCAGGAGTAGGAAAGTCTGCTCTTCACATGTGATCCATCCATTGAATTAGATATCAGATAACTTGTACCATAATATTTCTTATCCACCTTTGTTCTAAGAGCTAGCATCCTCTTTCTCGAGCGAGAAAGTTAGTAACTTTCCTTCACCCATTAAGACAGAAAACCTGTGTTTTTAACCTCACTCTGTGATTAAACTACATGTCTAAAACTCGTTCCAGGTACCAATTAAATGACAATGCATTTACTCACTCATCTTCCAGCAAAGGGTAAAATGCTTCTCCAGCGACATCTTTCAATCTCTACAAGACAAACAAATTGAAGTACCAGATTAATGCTGCAAAAATATAAAACAATCTTGCTGTCCTCATATGCAAATGAATCAATGGTCAGTTAGGTGGTCTGACTATGTAGAACTGCACTGTTAAGTGGGAGAGTGGACAATCTGGTGATTGAGAGTGGGAACAGAAATGGCCATGGAAATGAAGCGTGTAATAGAAGATCAAGCACAAAATGCTGAATTCATCCCATTAAACATTTATTTTTAAGTTGAGCTTTTGAGCATTTTGCTCAAAATATCTAACAAAACAGGAATCACTCAGCAACAGAAATTTACCAATTGGCATCTGACATGAATGTGAAAAAGAAATAGTTTTATCATATCCAATTTACCAAACCATCACCAATCAACCCAATTTCAATTTCTAAGCCCTTTTATCATCTTTTGAAATAGACCAAAAACGGAACTCTCAGCCAATCAATCATTGGCTCCTTCGTTACTTGCACACAATCAAATCTCCAGGAATTTTCATTTAATTCAAAAGCTCTTCTAAATCACCAGTTTAGTAACAAAAACCATCGTGGTATAATCCCCTACGTTACACCTCAGAGCCAGTTATATACAGTCCTACTGGCAAATGACTGAAGCCAATTTCAGACCAAATAAAAAAGCTCAAGATGCAGTGACTAAGCATTTTTTGTTAATCATCTGGATGGCCTGGGCTAAAAACAGAACATTTCCTACATCTGTTTGATTGTTTGAGACCTCAGAAACTTTTAAGTAAGGGCTTTTAATTTCAAGCTGTAACAGACAGTCTGATCACTGTCTTATGTGGGCTTGAAAGTGTTAATATCCGGAAGACTTTGATGAGCTCCACCCATGTTATCATGTCATAGAGTACCCACGAACACCAGAGAGATACAGTAAGGGTCTGAGGGAGACTGAGACAGTCACTAGAGAGATAGACAAATCCTCAAGTAATTTGTACATTATTGCATTGCTGCAAACAAGTACCTTATTACTTACTTTACCAGAATCCTGTCGTCTTTACTAGTTAAGACCAAAAGACAAACCACATACACTAGCTGCAGTGGTAGCAATAATCACTATCCTCAGATGGGCAAAACATTGTTTTCCACTAACATCTGTTCTCATGATAGTTACCCAGAATTGTTTGTGAACTGCTTACAACAGCAAAACCATGTTAATACTATGACCTGCTGACAGCTATTTTCACATTTGAAGAAGAAACAGAATGGAATCTAAAGCATTGATTAATTAAACTTGATCGCAACTTGAAACCAGCAGCCGTATAAAAGTGATTTGCAGAAGAAAGACCACTTAAGCTTCTTAGTAAGAAGTGCTTTTCATAAGGCCTCATATATACACTGGCACCAGTGCTCACTAGACTGATGTATAAACACGACATAAAAGCCATAAAGTTTAGAAAACCAGGAGGTAAATGAAAATCTTTTCCTGGTGTAGTGGTTGTAATTCTAGTTTTAGTCAAGGAAATTAGCAGGATCCAATTTTCAATAAGTTCTATTACTTACTAGCACACTGAACGAACGATTTTTAATACTTACATTTCTGAGTTGGCATAATGGCAGTGTCAGTGTGGTATCATCCAGGAGGAAACTTCTATCCCTTACTTGTCCAAAGCTTTCTCCATCTTCCAATATAAAGCTTCAAATAAAACCAGATTGAAACTTACAACCTTTTATTCCAGAAGCAGGTATTAAAACAGAAAATGAAAGAAATATTTGCCCTCTCTGAAGACAAAAACAGACTAATGTTTTGGGGTCAGATGAAAGAACATCAATCTCAAACATTAACTTTGTATCTCTTCACATGTGACCAGACCTGCTGAGTATTTCCAGCATTATGGCTGCATTTCAGATTTCCATTAGTTTAGAACTGCAGCATTTTGTTTAATTTCACAAGTCAGCCCAAAAACATCTCAAGTTGGCAGCACTTATTGGTTGATTTTAAAATACTCACAAGCAATATAAATCAAAAGGTGGCTAGAGACGCAAGACAATAAGACCAGACCTGCTTGTTAATTACTCACCCGTGATGCATTCTTTGTTTAGCAGATTGGTCCTCTGACATTTCATTCAATAATGCAATAGAAACTTAGGTCATACTAGATACATTTTCATTTTTCATTCATACTTTGGCCTTGTGAAGTTTCAACAAAGGAACAATTGATAAAGCACTAAGTTATTTGGTCTATCCTGGCCAAAGATGGATCTGGGAATCATGAACTGCATAGTTAACTTTTATATTCACATCATTAAATTTCTACGTTCACATATATAATGGAAACTGCCTCAGTAAGCCTCGGTGGCACGGTGGTTAGCACTGCTGCCCCACAGTGCTAGGGACCCAGGTTTGATTCTAGCCTTGGGTGACTGTCTGTGTGGAGTTTGCACATTCTCCCAGTGTCTGCGTGGGTTTCCTTCGGGTGCTCCAGTTTCCTCCCGCTGTCCAAAGATGTGCAGGTTAGGTGGATTGGCCAAGATAAATTACTGATAGTGTCCAGGAATGTGCAGGCTAGGTGAGTCAGTCATGGGAAATGCAGAATTACAGGGAAAGTCGGGGGGCGGGGAGTGGGTCTGGGTGAGATGCTCTTCGGAGGGTTGGTGTGGACTCAATGGACTGAATGGCCTGCTCCTACACTGTGGGGATTCTATGATACACTGTCGTCATTATACACTATTGCCAGTGGTAGAGCAGGAATTCCTCAGTTGTTGAAATAGTGCACCCACAGCATAATAGATTTATATGCGCTGTTGCCATTTTAAATGTGGACATAGGAATTACAAAAATAAAAGGAAGATTTTTAATAAACAATAAATTTCAATGCATTGAACTACATCCACAAGTTAGTTGAAGTTTCCACTTTGTTTCCATTAATTATAGTACCTTACCTTCTTTTAATAACTTTGGCAGAAGGCATCTTCTCCCGGCCAAGGACCTGTCTTCCAGCAGCCTGGAATGGCGGTATAGGACTGGCATCTGGCGGGGCAGTCTCTCGGTGTGGTGGGCTTGTCCAGGACAGGCAGTTTCAACCCGACATGGTAGTCTTGTCCTGGCGTGGCAGTCTTCTTTGGCAGCTTCCGGCTACTCCAGCAGCTCAGTGTGGAGGTCTAGGCCTGGCACAGAGGTCTCGTCTTGGCATAGAGGTCTCATCCTTGTTTCCAGGTCTTTTACTGAGCCAGCATGGAGTTTAGTCTTGGTGTGGCAGAATGGTCTCTGCCTGGCCCTGCGTAGTGGTTTTGGTCCAGCTTTCCAGCGTACCCCAAACCCAGGAGTTATTAATTGAATTGTGGTGAAACTTCACTTCTTTTCTCTTATTATTTATGGCTTCTGTCATTAATTTAGGTGCCGAGCTATGGTGACTTATAAAACTTTTCCATCTATTTGTTGTAAAAATACACATGACCCAAATTGCTATTCTGTGTTCATCGTTCACAGTGTAGTCTCCTCTACACTGGGGAGACAAAATGCAGAACACTTAAGTTCTGCCCGTAAAAATGACCCCAAGCTTCCCCTTGTCTGCCACTTCAACATAAGTGTCCCCACTCCAATATTTCTGTCTCACACCTACCACAGTGCTCCAGCGAGACTCAATGCAAACTGGAGGAACAATATCTCATCTTCTGATTGGGGACTTAGAGCCTTCAGGACTCAACAGAGCATCTTTCCATGCTTATTACCCATCCTTGCATCCCAGGTCCTATCATGAAATGGGTTGCTGTCAGCACCGACAACTCATTTTCATCTACAGATAGCCCTCAATATCACCTGTCTAGTTTTTCTTCTTCCCAGGCTTACTATTGACAACCTCATTGTTTTCCGGAAACCACGAAATGCTGGAGATCACAGTGGGTCAGGCAGTATCCATGGAGAGAAAGCAACCTAACATTTCAAGTCTAGATGTCTGCCTACCATTTCTTCCTCTTTCTCTCTCTGGACTTTGTCTTCACGCATCTGCTCGCTCCTTCCCCTCATACCCTCAACTTACTCTACCCCCATAAACACCACCTTTTCCTCGCTGCCGACAGTGCTGAAAACAGTCACTGGATTTGAAATGCTAACTCTGTTTCTCACTCCACAGATGCTGCCGTACCTGCTCAACTTCTCCAGCAGTTTCTGTTTTTATTTGTTTCAGATCTTCAGCATCCACAATTCTTTGTTTTGTATCAGTATAAAAAGAGTGCTGAGCAGACAAACCTGATGCAACTGGGTCTCAGTAGTTTAAATGATTCTTTTGACTTACTTTGACAATGTACAAATTGGAGGTTTGGAGCGAATGATTCCTTTGATTGTAAGTTCCTTCTCTAAGTCCCCTCCAGCCAAACACCAAAGATAATAGACATCATCAATAGTTCTTTCCGAAAGATAATCTTCATCTGCATGGAACAAATAATCTTGATAACACTGCACCCTTGAGAAATCTGGGTACTGAACATCTGATCAACTTGGTAGTTTAATTTTCTATAGTTACTGTGCACAATTATCATACGTTCAAAATTGCCAATGACAGAAACTTCAAGATATCAACATTCTGGAGCAACAGCTTATAAAGGTTTTCATAATATCAAGAGTTGACCCTGACTCTTTACTTGGGCTAAAAGGATAAAATTACAAGAACATGGTACACAAATTAATTCTGTACTCCCTTTTCTCATCAGAGTTACAATGATCTGGAATGCATTGTGTGAAAGAGTGGTGGAAGCAGATTTAACTACAATGATGTAACGGGAATTGAATAATGCATAAAAAGGACAAGTTTGAAAGGTTTTGGGGAAAGATCAGGGGACTTTAACGACATGGACTACAATGGGCTGAACTGACCTCCTCCTGCACCATAAGATTCTATAACCAACATTATTCATTTCTTTCTACCTCATGGCCAATATGTTTGGCTGAGCTAGTTTATCCTTTCGTTAACTACAACTTAAAACAGAGCTCAGGATTAATCTTTTTGACTCCAATTTGTATTTGATACCTCATTTTTCCTCAGAACTGGTGACAAAGGGCTGAGATCAAAAATCTTTAATCTTACCTTCTACATCGATGTTGCAGACCTGCTAAATATTTCCAGCATTTTCTGTTTTTATTTGAAATTGTCTCTGTACTGTCAACAAAACTGAAATATGCAAGGGGGCATTGAACACATCTATTGTTTTCATATTAAAATAGGGCAGACATTTGAAATAAATAGTCCATCCTCAACTTTTTATTTCCTAGGTTTCACCTGACTTTGTTAGATTTGAGCATTTTTTTGGTATTTAGGGCTGTAGATTCTGCTCAATTACAAACACTGAACAGCTTGGTTTGAGAATCACATCGCACAGACCTTGAAGTTTTAAGCACAATTAGAAAACTCAGTCCAAATGTAGAGATGCTTATGAAAAATCAGCCTTATTGTTACCAACATTGTGCGTGCAGAGTGAAGTAATCTCTCGTCTTGCATTCAGTGCTATACTTTGACATGAAGACTGGCATGATCAGGGTGACAGTATCCTCGCTGCTCTAGTCCAATTTCCACAACACAATGAAGACATGGTCAGACTGTCAGTACTCGAAAGGGCAACCGAATCAGCATCGCCAGGGATCCAACTTAAGAGCACTTGTGTCAGGAAAACTAGATCTACAAAACATGCACCTCAAAACTGTGGAGCTATCAGTCAGAAAGTGCCACTAAGCGATGCTTTCTGTTGAAGGAAACTTGATGAACCTCAGAGTCACTGCATTGACATCATAGTCAGTGCTGTGCTATGCAGTACAAAACTTCTATGTTTCTTTCACATGTTTCCAGTGAGCAGTCCAGATGAAACACAGCCGTTAGAGATATCCCTGGTTGCATCTCAATACACGCCATACAATATAGCAAATACAGAACTTTGAGGATATTAAAACAAAAGCTCCCCAATACCTTTATAGAACGTACCCAGGTCCTCGGGGATGATTAAATCAGCACAGCGCAGAGAGGATGTAAAGAGACCATCAGGTTTGCGGTATGGCTTGTACAAAGCAGAAACTTCAGTGAATAAACTATCTTGCAGCAGTTCAGCTGGAGTTGGCCTAACATGCAAATAAATTCCAAAACACATTCACATTACTCAACAGGCACACAATTGTTATTGTAGACAGACGTTCCAGAGAAGAGGTACAATAAATCAAAAAACAGATAAACTTTAAAAAGAACTTTGGTTGCTGCTACTTTGTAGCAGTATGTGGATTCAATGCCTAGAATCCCTCTTCCCACAGTTCACTATGGAAGTAATCCGCGATCACAGAACTTCCAAGTGACCGTAAACATTATAACAGACCATTTTACGAAGGTTGGGTACTTTCAAACTAGCTTTAAACTGGAATGTTCCAGAGTAAAACTGTTCCTAATTTCTAATCTTGTTAGTAAGGGACCACTGTAAGAGACTGAAAATGTCTCCTACAGTAAGGCGACTCTTGTCTAAGGCTGCAGGTTGGCAAAGTGGGAAATGCCTACAATCCCAGCAATAAAGTTACCCACCTTGATAAAAACATTTGAATACACATGGCTAAGTGCACACAACAAATGAGGATAATATAGTAGAAATGTCAGACTTGTTTTATTTTATCCTTGAAAAAACGCATTTAGAGTTGGCATTTGAAATTTGCTTTGAAGCTGTGAAAGCACTTACCTTTTGGATGGGTGGAAGGTCAGGCATTTTTTCAATAGTGTTTGAACATCTTTGGGTAAATCCTTTGAGAAGATGAAACAGTATTTGTATTGACTGATAAGTATGCAGAGGGCAAATCCACTTCAAATTTGGAACTAAATAAATGGTCTTTGTTTCACATATTTAGATAATTAAGGAGTTGCTACCTCTAAATTTAACATTTTTGCAAATGTCAGGTCTACCTTCAATAATTCCTTGAGTATGGGTAGAGATGTTGGTCGTTGAGTCAAATTTCCTTACATTTTGATGTGTGCTGCTACAATGGGGTGACACTGGGGTACAACAATGAGCCTATAAACATTACATTAATCAGTATTTAATCAGTAAGGGAAGCATAGATTATGGGGAAAAGGCAGGAAAGTGGAGTTGAGGGGTATCAGATCAGCCATGATCTCATTGAGCGGTGGGGGGAAATTCGATGGACTGAGTTGGACCTTCTGCTCCTATGTCTTCTGGTCTTCTGTTCTAAACAAGGTATCATCTGTATGATCATGCCTTCATCTCCAATCCTTCAGTAGGTACATTGCTTCAGTAAATTTCAAAACTATTCTCATGACTCAACCTGAATGTCTGGAATGTAGAGTGTGTCTAACTTGCACGGGTTTTTTAGAAAACCTTTTGAAGGTCAGGATGATCTGTACAGAGAAGGACGGTGTTAAAGGGCTGTTTTCAAAAGGTCCTTTAGAGAATGCTAAAACAGCCACTAAAAGTGCTGAGACTTTATTGAAGAGGTATTCACACCTGGGACAATGGTAGAAGAGAAAGAAGGTAAAGAAGTGTTGAATAGTTGGGACATGCTATATGTAGATACATATGGATGTGTATGAAAGAGTGGCGAGGGGGTTGTGGACAGTAATATCCATCAGAAAAAAAAAAGTCAAAAAAGTGGCATGGATCTGCGGCAAGATGAAAAGAACAGAGAACATAAGAAAATGAAAAACGGGCGCTTTTTCCGTTTGGGCCCTCAGGCCATTCTATAAGATCATGGCTCAATAACTCCAGGCATCAACTCCTCTTTCTGGCAGTTCCTCATAACCCTCAAATTCCTGAAGTACTCCAGAGGAGAAAAAGTAACGTTGGACTATGATATCCAGTTTCTCCATCACTTTATCACACTGTATAAAGTACATCAGTATTTGGTTAGAATCATGACAAAATGCAAAGTCAATAAAGCAAACCATGGTAATCTCCAGGCAGCCATGCTCTTCTGATATCACAGTCAAGATATCATCCACACAACCTGCAAAACAAATCTGGAATGAGTACAAGATGGAGAAACTAAGCTATCAACACACGGTGTGATAAAAAGAATCTTACCTAGGTTTAGAATAAATTTTAGCCTTTCAGAAATATCCACATTCTGGAGCAGTTTGTGACCCTGCACAAAATAAATATGCTTAGGTTTTTTGGCGCATATAGCCTTGTATCACAATTACAATTGATGTTATATGCAATACATCTGGAAATAGAAAGAAAAAAAGAGATTCAATGAATAATTTTGTTTTGTCTAACCTGAAAGTCCTGGCAAGTTTCCTTTCATGTATTGTTTGTGTTTAACCACATATGGTTTGATTTCATTGGCAACAGAAAGCAAATTGTCTGGGGAAAATGCAGGGGACTTTGATAGAAGCAAACATGACTGTATGGCCAGTAAGTGGCATATTCAACCTAACGCAAAGAATTTTAAGTTAGATTACGAAAATTGATGCTTGTGCACACTTGGAGTTAACATATCCAAACATCATGGAGAATACAGTTTGTTGAGCTCTTAACTGCAACTGTACAATGCTGCGGCTTCTCCAAAGGGACAGGTATAATTTCAGTGTGACAAGTTTACACAAAAGGCTTTTAGCGCAGAGGAGTTTTGGAACTAATGATAAAAAAGGATGCATGATGTATGGAAATAGAACTCATAGCTGGAGCCCCACTGTTACTTGCTGTCCAACCAATCTTCACTTGGACACTACAATTGTTCTTATCACGTGTGAAATCCAATGGGAGAGCAACTAATGAAAGTCGCATTTGGAAAAGTATGTACATCCCTCTTTTTAAGATTGGAGGGAAAGGGGAAATCTAGGGGTGGAATTGAATTGGAGGTGTCAAGCTTTATTCTTTTTGCATTGCCATGTGTAAGTGGGGAAGAAACAAAGCACAAAAACAGGAGAGGGGCAGTGACTAATGTATTGACAAACCTCAGGCACAACTGTCTTTGGCTGGTATACCACATGTGGTTAGAATGTACCCACCATGTCGTCATGAGTGTTCCCATCACTAATTTTCTGTAATCTTTACCACATGCTCAGTCATTTTTTTGATAGAATAAATGTCTCTGTTTTATATCCTTATGGTTTCTGACTGCAAGATGACATTTTTTCAATTCCCTTTGCTGTCATCAACATCCAATCTCTCAGTTCTGTTGCCATCAATACACAATGGGTCAGTGAATTGAAGCTAACAAGGAAAGGAAGATGATTACAAGAACGGCCAAATGTTTTTGTAAGTACAGATGTGGATTTTTATTTCATGACTGGATCACTGGAAGCAGGGGACGATTCCTATACCTCGAGTTGAGAGATTAACATCTAGCATATGGAAAAGAACACTTTTCTCAAATATATCCAGTTACCACATCAAAAATGTATTCTCTTTACTCCCTTGCTAAAGCTGCAAACTGCATTGGCCAAACTAATTACATTCCTTCAATATTCAAATAGAACCAGAGTTTAGGTCATATGCCTGACCAAGAAAGGAATAACGTGTATTTATTAACATCTTTCACATAAGAACATAAGAAATAGGAGCAGGAGTAGGCCATCTGGCCTGTTGAGCCTGCTCCGCCATTCAGCAAGATCATGGCTGATCTTTTTCTGTGGGCTCAGCTCCGTCCGTTCACCATAGCCCTTAATTCCTTTACTGTTTGAAAATCTATCTTTTTAAGGCAAAGATCAGTCTTAAAAAGACATTTTTAGTGTGTCACAAAGCCAAGAAGAGTTCAGTTACCATCACTACATAACTGCCAATCAGTGCATTACAAAGTTACCTCAATACTCTCTATGAAAATGACCAACTGGTTTGTTGGTGTTACTCAGCAAAACAAATTTATGCATGGGAATACCCGCTTGGCCCAGAGGGTATTGATGCTTACATGACTCGACATGAAACCAGGTTGAGAATGAAAGACAAAAAGCTGGCAAGGAATCTCTTCTTTTTCTGAGGCAGTGCCTTGAGACTAAGGATGACTTTCTTCCACTCTGGTGTTGTGGTTCCCTTGACAACTAAACAGACCGATGCTGGAATGATTGCAAACACTGCTTGAAGTGGGGCAGGTGGAGTTTGCTGCACTGGCTGGGTGGAATGCTCAGATATTTGTACACTCTGTGTGCTGTTTCTGCTTCGCCTCCACCTGGGCCTGTGGGAGACTCTCAAAGGGTTAGCACCTTTACAGATGGCTCTTCTCCAGTTTTGGAGAGTCTTGGGCTAGAGATTCCCAAAGGATACTGCAATTCCTATGCCGTGCTGGTAACTGTGTGCAACGATGAAGCTCAGAGTAGAGAGCTTGATATGGAAGGTTTGTGTCAGGCATGGGGATGAAGCTGATAATCAGTGCCTCCACATTGAGGATGTTGGTGAAGTATAGTGAACCAACTCAAAAATCAGGAGGAAAGACTCAACATGGAGGCTTTTGACCTATTACCCCACGCCCAGAATGGGTTCTGACAGATAGTCCTTCTCAAGAGTCTTCCCTCATTCAAAATGCCAACGGTCTTCACGTCAACCCCCTCCCCAGCCTGCACCTCCTCCATTCCCTGTATTTGTGTACTAGCATCAACATCTGGGACTGCAAAGGATGCTGCTCCAACTAAGTAGTATCAGACTAGCATACAGCCCAGCCATATCATTGCAAAGACCAAAAGCAGAGCGTGTGACTGTTTTGAGGAATATCTCCATTCAGGCTGCAAGCATAACCGCGAACTTCCTCTTGCTCATCATTTCAATTCTCCACGTTGTTCCCACTCTGATAGCTCTGACCTCGGCCTGATGCAGTGTTCCAGTGGAGTTCAATGCAAGCTTAAGGAACTGTATCTCATCTTTTGACTGGGCACTAGAGATTCAATATGGAGTTCTCAATATGGAGTTCAACACTTTTAAATCACAACCTCAGCCATCACTTTGTCTCACTCCTTTACTAATTCATTCCTCTTATATTCATTATCCAGCCATTCACAACTGATCTGGATATCTTTACCCATTACTGTGTGGGAGGTCAGTTAGGTCAATGGCTAGACTGCAAGATAGTAAATGTAGTAGACTCAATCCCTGTACCAGCTGTTGGCAGTTCATGAAGACCTGCTTTCTTGCCTTGCCCTATACTTGTGGAATGATGCTCCTTATACTTCATGTAACAAACTGCATCTCTCGAATGGAGTGAGAGATGCTTGTGGTACTTAGTGGACTATGGGTAATTACCAATTACCATAACATCTTTTGTTACTTCATTTCTTCTTCCCTTCACTTTTTCACAGACCTACTTGAAATAACTCCACGAAGGCTGCTATCCCATCACCAAGTCACCCTTTATTTACACGTGCATTGTACATGACACTAGCTAGCTCAGAGCCAACTCTCAGGGTGAACAGAACCCCTGACACTCCTGTTTATATCTGTCAGCCAGGGCTCATTGATTGGACCAGGTTAACAGTCCCAGTCAGGGAACTCACACTCTATGAGATCCACTTGGCTGATATTACTCCAATGTCTCTATTACTCTATCCTTATGCTGTTTTCACTCCTCCCCCACTTTCACTCACTCAAACCCAATTATATTTTCCATCATTCTGCTCACAGGTCATCACTGATCCGAAACAATCTGTTGTTTTCACTCCATAGCCTCTACTTAGCCTGCAAACACTTTACAGCATTTGTTGTTTTAATCAAATTGGTGATTCCAATGGGTTCCTTCCTGCTAATACACACAAAGTACTGGACCTACTCAGGGCTGAGGTGCTCATAGGTTAAAAGAGACCTTCCATGTCTATTTTATGATGTTTAGATGGACAATAGATACTTTGAATACAATTCTCCTCTTCTTTCACAAACAAAAACAAAACAATAACAGAGTAAGGAAAAGAATTGTACATACTTCCTTCCAGAATAGGTACTGGGATGGCGCACGTAATTTTATGCCTTTGCCTGTTTAGAGACCAATTAGGTTTAAAATGTTCTCATTTAAAGGAAAAAAAAATCTGCATCATTAAACTCTTTCCACCACACCCTGCTACTAGTTCAAGCATAAATAAAGGAGGTGATTCTGTAACATACCACACAAAGTTCCAATAATATTACACCAAGAGACCACACATCGACCTTAGGACCTGAGGGTGACGATCTGTCGCTCTGATTGTGATCAGTGGACTTCACCAGGCCCTGGGAAATGACTTCAGGTGCCAAGTATGAAGGGTACCTAAACACAACCCATAAATACACATTAACCAACAGCAACCCACCAGCCAGAAGGCATTAAAGTGTTTCTTTTTGAGTAGATTCACACAGCTGCTTCTTTTTTTAGCTCTAGCAGCTGACTAAATTTATTTCTAATGAGCTACAAGCTGTTCAATTTCTCAGCATCTTTTATACACATATTTATACCTAGGTAATCATTAAGGAGGAATGTTTCATTTCTGAGTAGGTCAGCTTTCCCTTCAGCCTGCGTTCTATTAGTCTGCCTTGACCAGCTGTTCAGCGAGAGCCTTAAACCAGATATTCTGCAGAGGAGGTGGCACAGATTCAGGCACTATTTCATTGCTGCAGGTTCTACAGCCAGGTGTGTTCAGTTCTTAACAATTCCGCTGTGAATATATGTTGGTTGCCTGCCTTAGGGCCACCTGCTGCTAACATGCTAACATTCAAAGCTTTTCGCAATGTATTTAAAAAGAGATATGCCTTTACTTTTCACAGCCTCAAGATATCACAAGGCATTTCATAGACAGTTAGGTTATAACGGGCCACATAGTTTTCTGTTTTGGACTACAAACTGAAACAGAAGTTGCTCTACTATGTAGATGAAGTATCGGAAGAGTTTTGCAACTTGGGAAAAATCAAGCCATGTGCATTTTTAGCTGTGAGAGGCAATGTTGCTTTGAGATACAGTGGTATTAACAGTTAGTGTTGAGGAAAAACTGCCTGACAACAGCCCTCCAATTGGTTGAGCTGCAGTTTGTTGCAATACAGTAAGTGCAGGGCAGCCAGAGACTGCCAGAGCCAGCAACATGGAAACCTAGGAGACTGAGGACTGCTCTTATAGAGGCTTATAAAATTATAAGGGGCATAGATAGGATGAATAATCAAGGTCTTTTCTCCAGGGTAGGGGAGTTCAAAACTAGAGAGCACAGGTTTAATGTGTGAGGGAGAAAGATTTAAAAAAAGGACCCGAGGGGTAACTTTTTCCACACAGAGGGTTCTACTTGTATGGAACATGCTGCCAGAGGAAGTGGTAGAGGAGGGTACAATTGCAACATTTAAAAGACATTTGGACAGGTACATGGATAGGAAAGGTATAGAGGGATTTGGGCCAAGATGTAGAAAAGTGGCACTAGTTCAATTTTAGGAAACCTAGTCAGCATAGATGAGTTGGGCTGAAGGGCCTGTTTCTGTGCTGTATAACTCTATGACACACTCTCCCTCTCTCCCCTGCCCCACCCTAGCTTGGGTGATTAGCAGAGAAACCAGGAAGGCTAAAAGTAAATAATTCTGAAAGGAAATTACCTAGATCCACCTGATCAATTATGAGCGCAAACAATGATCATTGTTTTATAGACAATAGCACTTCATTATTGTGAAATCAAAAGGAATTGAGAGAGATAATTTAGCCCACCATTGAGATGTAAATTTTTGATTTCCAGAATTTTATGCCCTGTCTGCATAGTTTTTCCATAATAATGTGTCAAGCCATCTGTTTTTTGTCTTAGTTGAGATTATTGTGTGTGCGCATGTGTATGTATGTATTTAGGTGTTTTGAAGGGATAAAGTTAAAGTCATATAGTTGATGATTATGAATCCTTTTTTTACTCTGTTGTGTGTTAAAGAAAAGTTCTTGCAATAAATAGTTATTTTCTATTAATGATGAAACCTGGTGCAAATTGCTTTAGCTGTGAAAACATAGCCAGGCAGGCAAACTGGTGATTTAATTGGAATTTATATATTTTGTGACAGCTTGGGAAACAACGAGGCATGGTTATAAGTGCACTCTTCCCAGTTAAATCATAACAAGGTCCTTTCAAAGCATAGTCACTTGCCGTAATGCAGGCAGCAAATTTGCACACAGTAAGCTCCCACAAACTACATAACAGCCCAGATTGTCAGCAGCAACTGATTGCGATTAAAAGTGCGCCTTTATGTTTGCTTGCTGTTGTTGATGGGGATTTCTATCCCAGAGCAAGGGATCATAGCAGGGATACCAGACAGGCAGTGGTGAGGACAGGGCGCAGTGAAGTCATCAGCTGGAGTTACTCCCATGGAGCAGAGCATGCTGGCAGTGTTACGGTGAGTTTTTGTTTAAAAGTTGTTCAAGAGGTGTTGAACTTTGTAAAGACTTTTAATTGCTGTTATGCTTGTGGCCGGGCGGCAGTAGGGTTGGGGAGGGGTGACGGAGAATGAGTACTGCAATTGTCAGGGCAGAGGTTAGCATTATTGGGCCAGTAATACAGTGTGAGCAATGTCAGAGTTGGTGGTGGTTGTGTGTTGGGGGTGGGGATGGGAAGAGAAATAGGTGTTAATTTTCTTAAGTTTACATCTTTAAAAAAAGATTGTTGCCTATTCGGTACAGTTCCTCCTGTTCATCATTGTCAACTAAGGTACAAGTTCCATGATTAACAACTGGAAAATCCTAGAGCAAGTATCCTGAGCAGGTTCTGGGTATCAAGCCAAAGCCCCTGATGTTAAGGTCAGTATCAGAGTCATCCGTGGAGAGGTCGAGGCAGTATAACTTGGCTTATTGGAGGTTCAAACTTTCTGGGTAAGTACCAAGCAGGAGGGCATTTGCCAAGTTGCCACTGGAAGATTTGGTCTGACTGGTTTAGAGAGATCAGTATTGGTCAAGATGCTGGGGAGAATTCACCTGTGCTTCTTTGAAATAGCATCACAAGATCTTTTCCTTCTAAGAGAGAAGGGAGGTGGAGTTGTGGTTAGATGTCTTGACTAAAAAAAGATGTTTTGGACACTGCAGCCCTCCCTTAGTACTGCACTGGATTGTCAGCCTGGGTTAGGAGTTCAGTTCAGTGAAGGTATTCTTGATTCCACTTCAAACTCAGAAGCAAAGTGCCTTCATTCTTTTGATTTTCACAAGACAAAGAAATGAAATTTTGCAGCAACCACCCCAAATACAGACATACAGCACCAGTCACGTTCAAACCCTTCTGAATTCTAGTTGGATTCTTACCCAATAGGGAAGTCAACATCAGCATTGTAACCAGTCATGTGATACAGTCCAAACTTGGCCAATTTAACGTGACCCTGTCATTATTAAAGAAAATAAAAATACATTAAAATCCGGTGGCTTTGCCTGGAATTAAATCAGAGCACCTGTGAATTAAAAAGAAACTAACACTCCCACTTGTCTTATAAGCTGTCTATTGTTGGGTACGACTTAGGATCAATCAGGTCATGGAATCATACAGCACGGAAACAGACCCTTCAGTCCAACCAGTCCATGCCGAATATAATCCAAACTAAACTAGTCCCACCTGCCTGCTCCTGGCCCATATCCCTCCAAACCTTTCCTATTCATGTATCTATCCAAATGTCTTTTAAACATTGTAATTGTACCCACATCCACCACTTCCTCAGGAAGTTCATTCCACATACGAACCACCTTCTGTGTAAAACATTTGCCCTTCACATCTTTTTTAAATCTCTCTCCTCTCACCTTAAAATTGTGCCCCCTAGACTTGAAATCCCCCATCCTAAGGAAAAGACAACCACTATTAACTCTATCTACACCTGTCATTATTTTATAAACTTCTTTCAGGTCACTGCTCAACCTCCTATGCTCCAGTGAAAAAGTCCCAGCCTATGCAGCCTTTCTTTATAACTCACACCTTCCACACCCAGCAACATCCTGGTAAATCTCTTCTGAACCCTCTCCAACTTGATAATTTCCTTCCTATAACTGGGCGACCAGAACTGACAGGGTATTTCCAGAAGAGGCCTCACCAATCTCCTGTGCAACCTCAACATAACATCCCAACTCCTATACTCAAAAAGGACAGAACAATGAAGGCAAGCGCGCCAAACACCTTTTTAACCACATTGCGTCTCATATAGACAAACTTCAAAGAATTATGTACTTGCACCTCTAGGTCCCTCTATTCTACAATACTACCCAAGGCCCTATCATTAATTGTATAAGCCCTACCCTTGTTTGTTGTACCAAAATGCAATACCTCGAGTTTATCCAGGTTGAGCTCCATCTGCCAGTTTTCAGTCCATTGATTCATTTGATCAAGATCCCCTTGTAATCTTAGTTGACAATGAAGAAGGTTTTCTGTGCTACCATTCTTGGTGTCATTGCAAACTTACTAACAATGCCTTCTATATGCTCATCCAAATCATTTATATAAATGAAACAAAAGAGGACCCAGATCTCATTTAACACATGGGAACTAATTGATACACAGTAGGCTGACATTGCTTTTTGCATTGTAGTGTACACTAATGTTTACTGTTAGAAGAGCTGCTGTGAGTGGCTAAATCCAGAACTGCAGAGAAATATAACATACTTCCAAGTCTATCATTCACACACGGGGGGGAAATCAAAACTGCTTATTCATTCAACCTGTTATGGACCAGACCAGATCACCTCAAAATATATTAAAGAAGGTAGCCTAGACCCTAACTTTTTCTTATTTCCAAAGTCAATGCGAGGTTCCAGAAGCAATTTGACTGGTTAAACTACTCAACGTTAAGCAAAACACAATGTTATTTTCATTATAGTAAATAATGTCAAAGTATCAGCCATAGTCCATAGAATACCTGCAGTGTGAAAACAGGACCTTCGGCCCAACAAGTCCACACCGACCCTCAGAGCATCCCATCCAGACCCATTCCCCAAACCCACCTAATCTACACATCCCTGAACACTATGGGCAATTTAGCATGGCCAATCCACCTAACCTGCACATCTTTGAAATGTGGGAGAAAACCAGAACACCCGGAGGAAACCCACACAGACACAGGCAAATGTGCAAACTCCACACAGACAGTTGCCTGAGGGGGATTTGAACCCGGGCCTCTAGTGCTGTGAGGCAGCAATGCTAACCACTGAGCCACCATTAGTCATTTTTTTAAAAGAAAATTAATTTACAGGATGAGAACATCGCTGGCTAGGCTAGCACTTATTGCCCACAGGACAGTTAAGAGTCAACCACATTGTTGTGGATCTGGAGTCACATGTAGGCGAGTTTCCTTGTCTAACGGACATTAGTGAACCAGATAGATTTTTCTGACAAATCGACATTGGATTCATGGTCTAAAATTGAATTCACAATCCACCATCAGCCGTGGTGGGATTTGAACCCGCGTCTCCAGAACATTACCAGGGTCTCTGGATGAACAGTCCAGCAATAATTTCGCTAGGCCATCACCTCCACAGACATAAGTAGGCTTGCCGTAATTAACTAGTATTTAAATACTTTCTTTAAATTAATAGCTGCTGTTGGACATGTGACATGAGTAGAAATCGTGCATTCTATACAGAGAGAGAAAAGTAAATTGCCTTACCTCACAATTCAGAAGAATATTGTGTGGTGCAAGTGCTTGATGGACCATGCTGTGTTTGTTCATGTATTCCAGTCCTTCCAACACCTCAAAAGCTATTTGGAGCACCCTTCCAGGACTGAAAGAGATTTAGGAAAAAAAAAAACGGTTAAAAGTAGTTTTCAGAAGTATACTTGTTCCCCAGCTTTTAGTCAAATGTACAAATTTACCATTAGATGGAATAAACATTGTCCATCCTTGGTTGAGGCTCATTACTCCTTCTCAAGGGCAACTAGGATTGGGCAGTAAATACTGGCCCAGTCAGCAACACCCATGTGCCACGACTGAATTAAAAATAAATGAAGAAGAGGCAAGCATCTCTGTCAGCGGGACTGTAGCTTCAAGATGGTGCTTTATTCCAGTATCTGCCAGTGAGGAACACTTCAATGTAAGAGAACAAGTATTTAGATTGGGGGTGGCGATGGCCTGGTGGTATTATCAGTAGACTGTTAATCCAGAGACCTAGATAACGTTCTGTGGACCCGGGTTCAAATCTCACCATGGCAGATGGTGGAATTTGAATCCAATAAATATCTCAACTTAAGAGTCTAATGATGACCGTGAATCCAATGTCGATTGTTGGAAAGACCTATCTGGTTCACTAATGTCCTTTAGGGAAGGAAACTGCCATCCTTACCCGGTCTAGCCTACATGTGACTCCAGAACCACAGCAATGTGGTTGACTGTCAAATGCCCTCTGGGCAATTAGGGATGGGCAATAAATACTGCCTAGCCAATGACGCCCTCATCCCATGAATGAATAAAAAAAATTTCCACAGGTGCTCAATTTATCAACATAATTGACTTGAAGTCTGCCTTACTTCCCAAAGTATCTTAGATTACTTTAAGATGATGTAATTATCTCTCTATTAGTTACTTAAACTACAATGGGTACCAGCCAAAGTTATGTTAGAAGTTATTGAGCATGGCAGGCCATTAAGTTTGATGGGTAGATTGAATTAAAGCATGTCCACTTGCGGATAAGTTGAGAAAATGGGGGCATAAATATAAAGTTGTCACCAGTTTAAGTAAAGAATTCAGGGACAATTTATTTGCACAGAGAGTTGCGAGAATTTGGAGCTCACACCCTCCACAGCAGATACTGATGAACACGTGGCAATGAAGTGAACAAAGAAGAGTGTTGTCAGGATGGGAACAGGCAATACTAATGGATGGATGGAGGCAAAAACATAAATTGCTGGAAAAACTCAGCAGGTCTGGCAGCATCTATGGGAGAGAAAGCACAGAGTTAATGCTTGGGGTCCAGTGACCCTTCTTCAGGACTGATGGATGGAGGATTGTTTGGTATAAACACTGGCATCAAGCTCTTGGGCCAAACATTCTGTTGCTTCTAAGGAAATTGCAAAACTAACCAAAATATGATGAAAGCTTGGCACACCAATCTGTTGAACGTTATCGTAAATAAAGGGTGTATTTCCACATGCAGGAATTGTATACTGCCATAGTTATGTTTGTGTGACTAGGTCAATGCAGTGGATTAATACAGGTTTTCCTTTTACTTTTTACTTGATTGGCATGATTGTGCAAAGCTTTGTACATTCTCTCGTTCTCCATGCCGTACTCGTTAATCTCAGCCTTATTTCTATTGTGACCAACAACACAAAGCTTCCTAAAATGTGAGACAGAATTAGTGTTAGTGTGTTCTAAAAAGTGACCACAGATATGGGTGATGAACAAAATGACAATGCCACACTGATATGAGGGCTCTCTTGATCTATGAAGCCTCTGCAAATGAGCTATAACATGCTCTGGGGTCCTCAGTATTACACTGGTGTAGGAAGTAGAAAGGTTTGACGATTTCCCAAGTTGAAATATTTCTCAAATTCTTGAATGTCATGGAAAAAAGACACACATCCCACGCATAACTATTTGCCTCAGCAAACATGACAATACAGAGCAGATTTCCCCAATCAAAAAGATAGCAAGGACTGCAGATGCTGGAGTCAGAGATAACGAAGTGTGGAGCTAAAGGAACACAGCAGGCCAGCCAGCAGAGGAGCAGGAGAGCTGATGTTTTGGGTTGGGGCCCTTCTTCAGAAATGCTATCTTCTTGATTGGGGAAATCTGCTTTGTATTGTCAGAAATGCTGAATTTCTGAAGAAGGGTCCCAACCCGAAATGTCAGCTTCTCTGTTCCTCTGATGCTGCCTGGCCTGCTGTGTTCCTCCAGTGCCACACTTTGTTATCTCTTTCCCCAATCAAATCCTTTTTTCCTAAAAAGTAAGAACATACAAGCCATGCCATTGGAAAGAAAAGAAAAACTCACTATACTAAAGTTAGTTATATAATGGATAATCATCAGCCCTGTTTCTTATACTGAGCACCAAGCACTTAACCACCCCTTATTGACATTGAGAAATTACAAGCCGCACAAACCATTACAAAACCAGGTTAGAAGTCACACGACAGCTACAGTCCAACAGGTTTATCTGAAATCACAGGCTTTCAGAGCCCAGCTCCTTCATCCATTGAAGTGAAGGGAAGCACACAGGCACAGAATTTACAGGCCGAGACATCAAACGATAGTACAAATGGTGTGAGTGGAGTGTCAACAGGTTGAATAATAAGTCTTTGCAGATGATCAACGCGTCAGATAGTGTGAGTAAAGTGTCAACTGCTGAATAGCAAGTGAAGGGATGACCTATGATCTAATTAATTGAAGCAGAAAAATAGTTACAGAATATTAAAAATAAGATGGGGCTAGAAACAAACCCAATGGCTGGAATAACAGGATAGGTATAAGAGTCGCATGCCAAGGGTCTAACCAAAGTAACAAGTAATCCAAAACTGTACAAACTCATTAAGGTAGAAAGCTCAACAATTTATCAAGGTGATGCTGTCAAAACAGAATGGTATGGAAGGTTTTACAGATACAGAGCCGTGTGGTGGGGTTACATGTCGTGCAATATGAACCCAAGATCATGACTGTGGCCGTCTTCATGGGTACGGAACTTGGCTATCAGTTTCTGCTCAGCGATTCTGTGTTGTTGTGTCTCTCGAAGGCTGCCTTGGAAGTTGTTTACCCGAAGATCGGAGGCTGAATATCCTTGACCACTGATGTGTTCTGTGGCTGGGAGGGAACATTCCTGTCTGGTAATTGTTGCGCGGTGTCCATTCAACTGTTGTCGTAGAGTCTGCACAGTCTCACCAATATACCGTGTCTCGGAGCCTCTGTAAGCAACAGAACTGTGCCACCCTACGTGCACAGCAAGAACAGGAAACTGGAGAAACTTGGCATCACCACCAGCAATAAGCAAGCCTGCCCCGGTACCACAGGTGAAACCGTTACCACCACAGGGAAATCCATTGTCAACTTGTCTGACCACACTCTTCAACCAGACAAAATCGAAGTTCTTAGACGAGGGCTCATTTTCTGCCCCACGACCAAAATGGAACCATTGGCCTTGCAGCAGACACAGCAGAATTCATCAGATGAATGAGGCTACTGGAATTCTTCCACAAACCCCATGATGTCAGCAGCAAGTCCAGTCAGACAACCAATGAGTCGGAACAGTCGACAGAGAGATCCACAGTGCCAGCGACCAAAGAAGAAAGAGTTGAATTGGACCCCTGTGGAAGGCAGCTGCCCAAGGCTCGACATGTATGCTCAAGCCCTCAGGAGATGCATCAACGCCAAATTCATCAGCTGCACTCACAAGATAGCGCAGAATGTCACCGAAGCACAATGCAACACATCCGTGCTCTCGAGACCAACCACAACATCGTCATCAAACCAGCAGACAAAAGGAGGGGCCATCATCATACAGAATAGAATGGTCTACTGCAAAGCGCATCAACAACTGAACAACCAGGAACACTACAGACAACTACCTGCCGATCCGACCAAAGAACACACCCGTCAACTCAACAGACTGATCAAGACCTTTGATCCTGACCTTCAGAGTATCCTTTGCACTGTCATCCCACGTACTTCTTGCACAGGAGACTTCTACTACCTTCTGAAGGTACACAAAGCCAATATAACTGGACATCCCATCCTATCAGGCAATGAGACCCTGTGTGAGAACCTCTCTGGCTATGTTGAAGGCATCTTGAAACCCATTGTACAAGGAACCTCCGGCTTCTGTTGCGACACTACAGATTTCTGACAGAAACTCAGCACCTATGAACCAATCGAACCGGGAACATTCCTCGTCACATGGATGTTTCGGCACTCTACACCAGCAAACCCCACGATGATGGCATCACTGCAAAAGCCTGAGTACTCAATACCACCAACTGCCAATTTCCACACGCCATCCTACAACTCATCCACTTGATCCTCGACCACAACGTCTTCACCTCCAACAACCAGTTCTTCATCCAGACATGGAACAGTTATGAGGACCAAATTTACACCCCAATACGCCAACATTTTCACGCACAAGTTCAAGCAAGACTTCTTTGCTGCACAGAACCTCCGACCAACGTTATACACCAGATACACTGACGACATTTTCTGCCTTTGGGGTCATGGTGAGGAATCACCAAAACGACTAACAACAACATCAGCAAGTTCCATCCCACCATCAGACTTACCACGGACACCTCTTCAGAATCAGTCTCATTCTTGAACACAAGCATGTCCATCATGGATGGACACCTCAGTACCTCGCTCTACCACAAGCCCATGGATAACCTCATGATGCTGCATTTCTCTAGCTTCCACCTTAAACATATTAAAGAAGCTATCCCCTACAGACAAGCCCTGTGTATACATAGGACCTGCCCAGATTAGGAGGAGCGCGATGGACACCTAAAAGGTGCTGAAAGATGCCCTCAGAAGAACAGCATACAATGCTCAACTGATCGATCGCCAGTTCCGACATTCTACAGCAGTAAATTGCAATGACCTCCTCAGAAGACAGACCTCAGACATGACCGATAAGAGTACCCTTCGTCGTCCAGTACTTCCCTGGAGCAGGGAACATCTCGCCAAGATCACCCCCACACCTCCACTTCTCACCTTCAAACAACCACCAAACTAAAATAGACCATCGTTCGCAGCCAATTACTCAGCCTTCAGGAGAACATTGACAACAACACCACACAACCCTGCCACAGCAACCTCTGCAAGACATGTCAGATCATCAACATCGATACGACCATCACATGTGGGAACACTACCCACCACATGCACGGCAGGTACTCATGTGACTCAGCCAATTTGTCTACCTTACACGCTGCAGTCAAGGATGCCCCGAGGCACGGTACATTGATGAGACCATAGAGACACTACGGCAATGGATGGGTGGGCATCACGCAACAATTGCCAGACAGGAATGTTCCCTCCCAGTTGGGGAACACTTCAATGGTCAAGAACATTCAGCTTCCAATCTTCGGGTAAGTGTCCTCCAAGGCGGCCTTGGAGATACACAACAACACAGAAGAATTGCTGAGCAGAGACTGATAACCAAATTCCGTACTCATGAAGACGGCTACAACTATGATCTTGGGTTCATGTCGTGCTACATGTAACCGCACCATACTGTTCTGTATTTGTTAAATCTTCCTTACCATTCTGTTTTGATACCATCACCTTGATAAATTGTTATGAGCTTTCTACCTTAATGAGTTTGTACAGTTTTGGATTACTTGTTATTTTGGTTAGACCCACGGCATGCGACTCTTATACCTATCATGTCATTCCAGCCATTTAGTTTGTTTCCTGCCCCATCTTATTTTTCTTTTATTGTAATTATCTTTCTGCTTCAATTAATTATATCATAGGTCATCCCTTCAGTTGCTATTCAGCAGTTGACACTTTACCCACGCCATCTGACACTTTAATCTGCAGAGACTTATTATTCAGCCTGTCAACACTCTACTCACAACCTTTGTACTATTGTTTTATCTCTCTGCCTATAAATTCTGTGCCTTTATGCTTCCTTTCACTTCAGCTGACAAAGGACCAGCGCTGTGAAAGCTCATGATTTCAAATAAACCTGTTGGGCGACAACCTGGTATCACGTGACTCCTGAATTTGTCCACTCCAGTCTAATGCAGATATCTCCACACCATTATAAAATCAGTTATAGATTTATACAGCATGGAAACAGACTCTTCGATCCAACCAGTCCACACCGAACATGTTCCCAAACTAATCTAGTCCCACGTGCCTGCACTTGGCCCATATCCTTCCAAACCTTTCTTATTCATGAACTTATCCAAATGTCTTTCAAACATTGTAACTGTACCTGCATCCAATACTTCCTCTAGAAGTTCATTCCACACACAAACTACTCTGTGTAAAAAATTTGTCCCTTGTGTCCTTTCTAAAATCTTTCTGCTCTCAGCTTAAAAAATATGCCACCTAGTTTTGAACTCCCCCACCCTAGGGAAAAGACCCTTGTCATTCATCTTACCTATGCCCTTAATAATTTTATAAACCTCAATAAAGTCATCCCTCAACCTGCTGTGCTCCAGTGAAAAACATTCCAGCCTTTCCTTTCTATTTTTAAATCTCAAACTCTCCATTCCCAGCAATATCCTTGTAAAATCTTTTCTGAACCCTCTCCAGTTTAATAATATCCTTCCCATAACAGGGCGAACCAAACTGCACACAGAACTTCAGGAAAGAGATGACGGGCATTTTTTTTTTTAAAGCAGAGTGTGATTTGCCTGTGGATTGAACTTCCTGAGGAAGTGGTGGATGCAGGTACAGTTACAATGTTTAAAAGACAGTTAGACAAGTACATGACTAGGAAAGCTTTGCAGTGATATGGGCCAGAAGCAGACAGGTGGGACTAGATTGGTTTGGGATTATGTTCTATAAGGACTGGTTGGACTGAAGGGTCTGTTTCTGTGCTGTATGACTCAAACTCTATAACTCAATAAAAAGCCTCATCAACGTCCCGTACAAACTCAACAGGACATCCCAACTCCTATACTCAAAGGTCTGAGCAATGAAGGCAAACATCAGATGGAGGAGTATTATGTCAAACTTGGCAGGGCATTATTGATATTAAAGCCATGTCATTTCACTACATGTGCTTCTGCTATTATATCAGTTTCTCCACACTACCTTGCACGTTTCGCAATTGAAGATAACAGACAACATGTATATTTAGATGCAATTTCACAGATTTCCTTCAGGAAAAGTTTTTAATATCCTCCCACAGAACGTCCATCACTTTGGAGTTTGATCCAACACTTCAACTACACAGACTGTTTAATGCACTACTTTCATTCGAGTCACCATTGCAGTTAACACAAATTTACCAGCAGATGGAGTGTGAATACACAGTTGAACTGTTACATAGTTAAATCGCCAAGCACTGATAACAAACAGGAAGAGTCAAGCTTTATAAACAAACAGTCTGAAATTACCCAATACGAGATAAAAAGTTTAGTTCTTTGCGATGCACCCTCTTTGCATAATGATTGTCTGAGACAAATTAAGACACATTTTATGTCCAACTCATTCTTCTCTTCAAAAACAGAACAGAAACTCAGCAAGTCTGGCAACAACTGTACAGAGAAAAACAGAGTTCATGTTTTGAATGAATGAATGAATCACGAGACTCGAAATGTTTCTCTCCACATATGATTCCAGACTTGCTGAGTTGCTCCAGCACTCAGTTTTTATTTCATTCTCCTCTTCCTCCAACTCACCAATTCTGTACTTCATGTCCAATAGATTATGTGATCACAAGCTTGCACCATGCAGACATCACAACATCCGGGAAGATTAATTGTAAAAACCAATAGGATTGAATTAACTGTCTCCTTCATAACTCTGTCTCTAAAGTTTAGAAAGTTTCTCCATTCTGTAATAACTCTGTAGAGTGTTTCCTTTGACCTCATACAGGCTTTGGATCCACCTAGTCGATATTTTTCTAATGAAACTGTTCAGAAATGCTACTACAAACCTCTAGAGCAGATAGGACTTGAATATGGGCCTTTTGCTTAAGAGATAGGGACACTGACACTACCACTACACCACAAGAGCCCAAATCCTAGCCATTATGATCTCCTTAAAGTAAATCAGCTGCACCAATATGATAGCAGTCAAGATGGAGGGAGCAGCACAGGGTTTTTTTGAGGAGGGGGACGGTGAGCAAATATATTCTTACAGTTGTTGGTTGCTTCGCGAGCTGACTTGTTTTCGTGCAAATGTTTCATCTCCCTTCTAGGTGAGATTTTCGTGCTGTGTAGCCTCCATTGAAGCGCTACTGTTCTGTCCCGCTTTGTTATGGTGGGCAGTCTAGCTTCCGGATTTGTACCGTAGTGGTATGTTGATGGGGTCGATTTCAATATATTTGTTAATTGCATCGGTGGTTTTCGATTGAGAATTCCTGGAGGCTTGGTTTTCAACCACCGATGCAATTAACAAACGTGTTGACATAGACGCTTTTAACATACCACTATGGTACAAATCCGGAAGCTAAACTGCCCACCATGGCAGACCGGACCATATAAATTCAGAGCGGGACAGAACAACAGCGCTTCAACGAAGGCTACACAGCACTGACAATGTCACCTAGAAGGGAGACAAAACGTTTGCGTGAAAAGTAGTCGGCTCGGCAAACCAATCAACAACTCCAACCGCAACCCGAGCTACAGATCTTTGTTAAAACGTTAAATATATTCTTGTGATGAAAGTTGCTCATTAATACGTAAATCTGGAGAAATACATGAGAGGCTATTTTATCGTGTTAGCTCACTGCTACGCAGTTCAAAGGTATCAAATATGGAATTCAAAGCTGATACTGAAACTCAGTTGGTAATGGAATGTGGAATTTAATCCTGAAGAAGGAAATGAACTCCTTACCTTCTGAGTCAGAAGTGAAAATGCTGTCAAACAAAAGCCCCCTCAGCACTCAGCCCTAATTTATTTGTGGAAAAGAAACAGAGTGCGATGTAAAACAGGTGGACAATATGCTATGAACCTGATTAATTATGTGCTGGCATTGACTCACTGATAGTACAAGCTAAAAGGCACTATTCAGTAGTAAGAGTTAGTATCAGCAACTCCCACACAAGTAATGTGCCCTTAATTACTACTCTTCCTCATTGCTCTGAGATGGTAGTGATGAGTTGTCTTCTTAAGATGCTGCAGTTTGAACAGTGAAGATGCTTAAACAGTTTCCTATAACAGAGTGGTTTGCTTGACCATTTCAGAGAACAATGTAAAGCTTAGGTTAGTGCAGGACGGGGAGTCCCATGTATTCTAGACTGGTTAAATACGACAGGTTTCCTCCTTAAGCGGCATCAATGAACCAGTTCTGTTTAACAGCAATCTGACAATTCATAGCCACATTTACTGATATCAGCTTTTTATTTCCAGTTTTAAAGTGAATTCAAAAGATTCATCACAGCTAATTTTGACAAAACATTAACTTTATTTCTCTCTTCACAGTTGCTGCTGAATCTGCTCAATGCTGACAGCATCATCAGCATCGAGTGTTTTGTTCTTCTAATGTTCTGTCCTCTGTGGAGCTGGTAGCTTTGGTTCACGGGCCAGTACCTTTATGTATTTTATGTCTTTGTTAATTACTTGCTGTGACGGACAATTGCACAATAAGCAATAAAAGAAAGCTTTGGCAGGTCGGCCTCTACAGGATGGTATAGTGAGCTGGAAATTCCTCCATGAAGCTAAGATGCTGAAACCAAGCCTTCCTTCGCATAACCTAGGTAGACCACTGGGGCCAGCTAATGCAAGGCCTGGGCAAATAACAGACCTGCACATTTCTTTCCTGTCTGAGAGCTCCTCATCCTGCTGGAAATGTACGATGGAATGCTAAAAGCAGTTCCCATCCTGGACACTATTTCCAATATGCAAAGTGACAGCTGGATACAAACCAGTTCCAAGAACCACATTTGGAAATTAAAGACTAGCCACACATGCAACAATGCTACACAAGTAAATATAAATGAACGCAGAAAAAGAAAATGCAGAGGGAAATCATAAATCTTGCATTTATTCATAATCTCATCTTTCACATCCTCAAGATGCTCCAAACTACCTTGCAGTTGTGAATTACTTTTAAATTATAGACACCATGGTGCTGAGTGGACAGACGTGGGAGTCACACTGGGCACAACAAGGTCACATAAACAGCTAGAAAAGAGACAGGAATGCTGGAAACAGGAAACATGCTAATATGCTAAAGTGATAGGTCATTATCAGCTTGTGTGTCTCCCTGGCTTACCATTACCTAGCTTTTTGTCAGCCTTACTGTCTTTCTCTCCTTGTCCACCTATCCTTTACCCCCACTCACCCCATCATCTTCAGAATATATACCACCATTTCCTAGCCTCTATCTGAAGAAGGGTCACAGTGGCACTGTGGTTAGCACTGCTGCCTCACAGCGCTAGGGACCCGGGTCAATTCCACCCTCAGGCGACTGACTGTGTGGAGTTTGCACATTCTCCCCGTGTCTGCGTGGGTTTCCTCCCACTGTCCAAAGACGTGCAGGCTAGGTGGATTGGCCATGCTAAATTGCCCGTAGTGTTCAGGGATGTGTAGATTAAGTGCGTTATAGGGGGATGGGGTTGGGTGGGTGCTCCAAGGGTCAGTGTGGACTTGTTGGGCCGAAGGGCCTGTTTCCACACTGTAGGGATTCTAAGATCTATGATCTATGAAGGGTCACCAGACCCAAGACATTAACTCTGCTTTCTCTTCACAAATGCTGTTAGACCTGCTGAGGTTCTCCAGCAATTTCTGTTTTCATTTCAGTTTTCCAACATCTGCAGTTTTTTGTTTTATTTTAGTGTTTAACTGACAAGCAGCTGATTGTGATACACAACTTGCTTTTGGTGTGTTCACTAAAGATAAACATTGGTCAGGACATAGGGTCCTCACCTGTTCTTTGTCCACTTTGCGCGGCACTGTTTTTCCACAAACTATTACCTGCATATTTTTTCAAGCATTGTGTTTATTCAATTCCCTTTCAAAAAAAAATAGACATCGAACCTGCTTCCACCAACATTTCAACCAAGACACAACCAATTATGGTACCCACATTTGCCAAAATAAGACTCATCTCATCCTGAAGATGGGTCCCTTCAACAGTGCAGCAATCACTCAGTAACAAACCCCTGATGAGCCAGTCTAGTATATTTGATAAAATCTCTGGAGCATGACTGAACTGACAACCTTCTGATTCAGTTGTCCGTGATACCAATGTGCCACGGTTGGCACCTTACAACTATTCCACCACAGTTTGGCCAATATCTTTTTCATGTTAAGAGATACAGGTATCCCAGATATAGCATGATAATTAAACTACTTGTTTAAAACAAAAACAACGTTCTCCTCTATCCCACATGCCCCAACAAAAACCCTCATGTAATCCAGTCATTAAATGGCCAACTCATTTCTTTTGCTCATTGGGATTCCCAGATGTACCACAATGATGCTATCTGGTCCCATTTGCCATCCACCCAGAGCCTAAAGCTTGTGCTCAATATATGAATTAGGAGTAGAATTACTTGAAGCCTTCCCATCTGGAACTAATTATCATGCTGGTAGGAAGATGGTAGGTATCTCCCTGACACCAATCTGTCCTATTAACTTGACCTCAGCCAATTTCCCCACCTCTTCTTGGCAAAGGAAGATTCTGCCTTAAAGTTTCTGAAATGGTGTTTATTCAAAGACAGATTTTGGACCAGTTAAGGCAGCACAACATTTATAAATCAAATAAATTTTGATAAATAAATCAAAAGCAGTCACTTTCAGAAGGCCAAAAGAACTGAGGATGCTGTAAATCAGGAGCAAAAACAAAGTTGCTGGAAAAGCTCAGCAGGTCTGGCAGCATCTGTGAATGAAAAAAACAGAGTTAACGTTTCGGGTC